AACAACAACCCACACTCAAAATTTCAAGCCACACAAAAATGTCTTTGAAAAAAATTTCTTTGAAAATCCACGCCTTGTTTGGTGTTTGAAAAAATATTTCTTTGAAAATCCACGCCTTGTTTGGTGTTTGAAAAAATATTTCTTTAAAAATCCACGCCTTGTTTGAAAAAATATTTCTTTAAAAATCCACGCCTTGTTTGAAAAAATATTTCTTTAAAAATCCACGCCTTGTTTGAAAAAATATTTCTTTAAAAATCCACGCCTTGTTTGAAAAAATATTTCTTTAAAAATCCACGCCTTGTTTGAAAAAATATTTCTTTAAAAATCCACGCCTTGTTTGAAAAAATATTTCTTTAAAAATCCACGCCTTGTTTGAAAAAATATTTCTTTAAAAATCCACGCCTTGTTTGAAAAAATATTTCTTTAAAAATCCACGCCTTGTTTGAAAAAATATTTCTTTAAAAATCCACGCCTTGTTTGAAAAAATATTTCTTTAAAAATCCACGCCTTGTTTGAAAAAATATTTCTTTAAAAATCCACGCCTTGTTTGAAAAAATATTTCTTTAAAAATCCACGCCTTGTTTGAAAAAATATTTCTTTAAAAATCCACGCCTTGTTTGAAAAAATATTTCTTTAAAAATCCACGCCTTGTTTGAAAAAATATTTCTTAAAAAATCAACGCCTTGTTTGAAAAAAATATTTCTTAAAAAATCAACGCCTTCTTTGAAAAAAATATTTCTTTAAAAATCCACGCCATGTTTGAAAAAATATGTTTTAAAAAATCCACGCCTTGTCTGAAAAAATATTTTTTAAAAAATCCACGCCTTGTCTGAAAAAATATTTCTTTAAAAATCCACGCCTTATGGCTGTGATATCTTGAAAAAATTCTTTAAAAATCCACGCCTTATTGGTCTAAATCTTGTGTAAAAATCCACGCCTTATTGGTGGTATAAATCTTCTTTAAAAATCCACGCCTTATTGGTGGTATAAATCTTCTTTAAAAATCCACGCCTTATTGGTGGTATAAATCTTCTTTAAAAATCCACGCCTTATTGGTGGTATAAATCTTCTTTAAAAATCCACGCCTTATTGGTGGTATAAATCTTCTTTAAAAATCCACGCCTTATTGGTGGTATAAATCTTCTTTAAAAATCCACGCCTTATTGGTGGTATAAATCTTCTTTAAAAATCCACGCCTTATGGGATACTTGAAAAAATATTTCTTTAAAAATCCACGCCTTATGGATACTTGAAAAAATATTTCTTTAAAAATCCACGCCTTATGGATACTTGAAAAAATATTTCTTTAAAAATCCACGCCTTATGGATACTTGAAAAAATATTTCTTTAAAAATCCACGCCTTATGGATACTTGAAAAAATATTTCTTTAAAAATCCACGCCTTATGGATACTTGAAAAAATATTTCTTTAAAAATCCACGCCTTATGGATACTTGAAAAAATATTTCTTTAAAAATCCACGCCTTATGGATACTTGAAAAAATATTTCTTTAAAAATCCACGTCTTATGGATACTTGAAAAAATATTTCTTTAAAAATCCACGCCTTATTTGAAAAAATATTTCTTTAAAAATCCACGCCTTATGGATACTTGAAAAAATATTTCTTTAAAAATCCACGCCTTATGGATACTTGAAAAAATATTTCTTTAAAAATCCACGCCTTATGGATACTTGAAAAAATATTTCTTTAAAAATCCACGCCTTATGGATACTTGAAAAAATATTTCTTTAAAAATCCACGCCTTATGGATATTTGAAAAAATATTTTTTTAAAAATCCACGCCTTATGGATATTTGAAAAAATATTTCTTTAAAAATCCACGCCTTATGGATACTTGAAAAAATATTTCTTTAAAAATCCACGACATTTTCTTTGTTAAACAAATATTAAAAAAATATTGAAAATCCGGGCCTTATTGGTATCTGAAGAAATTATTTTTTTTAAACTCCCCCCATTCAAAACAATTTGGGTTTTTTTTATAATTTTGCTCATAATTATTTATTTTTGGCATATTTTGTGCATTTTGTATTCAGTTGAAATATATGTATGTATATATGTATTTCTTTGTTTTAAATATATTTTTATTTTTGTTTGTTTGGTTTGCTATTCCTTCATATTCCTTTGGTATATATCTTCACTAATAGCTTAATAATACATTCACGTTTATATATTTATATATAATTATTATAGGTAATTCATTAAGAACTCTGCTTTTACAATAATAATAATATACAACAAAAAAAAAATAAATAACAATAAATATAAATATAAATAAATACATATTTATTTGTAATAATTTGGACATAAATTCTTTCGGTTCGGGGTTTTGTTTTTGTATGCGATTTTTTGTTTTGAAACATAAAATTTTATTTAATGTAACTACTATATACAATGACATCTGTTTATTTCAATATTTTTTTTTTTTTATTTAAATTTTTAGCTCTGCTGATTTTTAGTTTTTTTTTTTATTTTATTTTGAATATATGTATGTATGTAAATTTGTAAATGTTTTTGTGTAGATGTACTAGAATTAAACTTTATCCAGCCCGTGTTTTTTTTGTTGTTGTTCATTTTACATATATTTTTGTTTATTTAAATTTTAATTCTAGTATATATATATGTTTTTTTTGTATATATGTACTCGTACATAAGTAGACATTTTATAAGTGTTGGCTTTTTTTTTTCATACTTAAAACTAAATGTATTTTTTTAATTTTCAGTTTCAGAGAGGGATATCATTGCAAGCAAGATATATGATATTCTATATATGTGTATGTGTGTGTGTAGGTGGGTGGGTGTTTGGTTCATGTACTGGATGTTAGAGTTATCAACTCTTTGTGTGAAAAAAATAAACAAGAAATACTTTAATTTTTACCACTGACATTGACATCATTAAAAAGTACAGCTAAATCATCATCCGCAGCAGTTCCAATACCATCACCACCGACAACACCACCCTCTGTTGCATCCGTTGAGAGCACTTCATTGATATCATCATCATCATTGCTGCCCACATTTCCTCCCTCATCATCATCATCATCATTACCACCAGCATCGTCATAATCATTATCCACAGCAGAGTTAAGATTTTCAATTTTAGTTTCGGTATCGTCATCGTCAGTATCATCTACGCCGTCATTATCCCCCTGCACATTATCGTTATTATTATTGTTGTAGTTGTTGTTGTTATTATTTTTATTCTGGTAGGCGGCAAAATTCTTAACTGTATTTTTATTAACATAAAACATGTTATCATCACTAGAAAATTTTATATAAAATTCATTCAAAAATGTTTGAAAAAAAACTGATTCAAAATTTGTATAATTTTTTTACTTTAATTTCTTTTCAATTTGGAAAAAAAATTGAGGGACTTTGGAGGTGACCTTTGAAAAAATATTTGTTAAAAATATAATTCTTTAAAAATTCACGCCTTATGGATATTTGAAAAAAAAATTCTTTAAAAATTCACGCCTTATGGATATTTGAAAAAAAAAATTCTTTAAAAATCCACGCCTTACGGATATTTGAAAAAAATATTTCTTTAAAAATCCACGCCTTATGGATATTTGAAAAAATATTTTTTTAAAAATCCACGCCTTATGGATATTTGAAAAAATATTTTTTTTAAAAATCCACGCCTTATGGATATTTGAAAAAAATATTTTTTTTAAAAAACGCCTCGAAAAAAATATTTTTTTAAAAATCCACGCCTTATGGATAATTGAAAAAAATATTTTTTTAAAAAGCCACGCCTTATGGATATTTGAAAAAAATATTTTTTTAAAAATCCACGCCTTATGGATATTTGAAAAAAATATTTTTTTTTAAAAATCCACGCCTTATGGATACTTGAAAAAATATTTCTTTTAAAATCCACGCCTTATGGATATTTGAAAAAAATATTTTTTTAAAAATCCACGCCTTATGGATATTTGAAAAAAATATTTTTTTTAAAAATCCACGCCTTATGGATATTTGAAAAAAATATTTTTTTAAAAATCCACGCCTTATGGATATTTGAAAAAAATATTTTTTTAAAAATCCACGCCTTATGGATATTTGAAAAAAATATTTTTTTTAAAAATCCACGCCTTATGGATATTTGAAAAAAAAATATTTTTTTAAAAATCCACGCCTTTAGGGGAGGTTGAGATATTTGAAAAAAATATTTTTTTTTAAAAATTTACGCCTTATGGATATTTGAAAAAATATTTTTTTTTAATCCACGCCTTATGGATATTTGAAAAAAATATTTTTTTTAAAATCCACGCCTTATACATTTGAAAAAAATATTTTTTTTAAGATCTTGAAAATAATATTTTTGAAAAAAATTTTTTTTTTTAAAAATCCACGCCTTATGGATATTTGAAAAAATATTTTTTTAAAAATCCACGCCTTATGGATAATTGAAAAAAATATTTTTTTAAAAAGCCACGCCTTATGGATATTTGAAAAAAAAAATTTTTTTTAAAATCCACGCCTTATACATTTGAAAAAAATATTTTTTTAAAGATCTAAAAAGATCTTATGGATATTTGAAAAAAAATATTTTTTTAAAAATCCACGCCTCCTCCTGAAAAAAAAATATTTTTTTAAAAATCCACGCCTTATGGATATTTGAAAAAATATTTTTTTTTAATCCACGCCTTATGGATATTTGAAAAAAATATTTTTTTTTAAAAATCCACGCCTTATGGATACTTGAAAAAATATTTCTTTAAAAATCCACGCCTTATGGATACTTGAAAAAAAAAATATTTTAAATAGTTATTTTTTTTCATTGGGTGGACCCCAATGAAAAAAAAATATTTTTTTAAACATTTTGAAAAGAAATTAAAGCAAATTCAAAATCATTTACCATTTTTTTACTAAAATTTTCATGCATTTCTAACCTTGTAACTTACATACTGTTACAGCGATAGAAATTCTGTAAACCAGTGTAGACGCAAGACATATAAGGTGTCGATGCACCACTGCTACCGCCTGCCTCATCCTCACCATTGTAGTTATCATTCAATAGCATCATGGGTTTGGGTGCCGCCTTATTGCTTAACTGGGTGCCGGTGGAGATTTCTGAAAACAAAGCTTGTTCATAGGGTGTCGCTAACATTGATTCCAGTGGTTGGTGGTTTGTTTCTAATTGCGTACCCGCTCGTTTGCCATAACGTGAACCCAAAAAGAATCTATCATTGCGTGGCACAACATTCAGCCGACGTGTCTTCGATGGTGCATAGGCAGCACCGCTAGCCAACGCTGACGAAGATGAAGCACCGCCCGATGAACGGCCATAGCGACTGCCGACAAAGAATGAAGGACGTTTGTGCATTGTTAAGACATCTGATCGGATTTCACAGGGAAGAAATGTGCGATGAAAAAAAAACATAGAAAAAAAAGAGGTGAAAAATGGGAAGAAATAAAAAACCAAAGAAATGTTCTTAGAAGGTAACAATTTAAGATATTCGATTACACTTCGGTTAACCTAGATTTAGGTGGTCATGGTGATGACCATAGAGGTTTTTATTTCTTTTGAAAATATTTATTAAAAAATTCTCAGCTGTAGATAATTGAAAAAATATTTATTAACAAAAATTAACACTTTTGAGCTACTTGAAAAAATATTTATTAAAAAATCCACGCCTTGCTTACTTACTTAGCTGGCTTGTGACAGAACTTTCGTTCCATAAGCCGAGCTTAAACCAGTAAGGAAAGGAGTAAAGTCGGACGGGGCCGACTATATGATAACCTTCACCACTATGGGTATATTAAACAGGACTATTAACATGAAATTGAATGAAATAAAATATGTGATATTTATCTAAATGTGAATCGACTTCAAACAAATATCAATAGGTCATCCGTTGGGATATGTCTGTAATTCTAAAAAACGCAACTACGTAATTCTATGCTCAATTTTGTACGTTGTGCAAAATTTGATGTCAATCTGACTAACATGAAGAGTTTGATGTCCAATTTACTTAAAATCGGGCAAATATATATGGAAGTTATATCCAAATATTAACCGATTTCAACGAAACTTGTCCTAGGTTAGGTTATACTAATTTCAGTACGTTTTGTTCCTATCAGCCTATTGGTTCTTTGGTGCGCCAATTACATCAAATTAATCTATAAAAAGGGAGCTATATCTAAATCTGGACCGATTTTCAGGAAACTTGGCAGACATCAATCTAGGCTCAATTCAGTACGTTATGCCAAATTTCGTGCAAATCGACAGATATATAGGGTCGTTAGTGCACCATTTACCTTTAATCGGACGAAACTATATATGGGAGCTATATCTAAATCTGGACCTATTTTCACGAAATTTACCACACATTTTTCTCGACTTAATTCAGTACCCTATGCCAAATTTCGTGCAAATCGAAGGATATATAGGTACTTTGGTACACCACTTACCTTAAATCGGACGAAAATATATATGGGAGATATATCTAAATCTGGACCGATTTTCTCGAAACTTAGCAGACATCACTCTAGGCTCAATTCAGTACGTTATGCCAAATTTCGTGCAAATCGAAAGATATTTAAGAACTTTTGTGCTCCATTTACCTTAAATGGGACGAAAATATATATGGGAGCTATATCTAAATCTGAACCGATTTTCAAGAGACTTAGCACACAACATTCTAGGCCTAATTCAGTACCCTGTGCAAAATTTCGTGAAAATCTAAAGCTACTTAGGGACTTTGGTGCACCATTTACCTTAAATCGGACGAAAATATATATGGGAGCTATATCTAAATCTGAACCGATTTTTCTCAATTTCAATAGGGTTCGTCCTTGAGCCAAATGAATGAGCTGTGCCAAATTTCATCCAATTCGAATAATAAATGCGACCTGTACTTTGTTTACAATTTAACATGGACAGACGGACGGAGATGCGTAAATCGTGGCCTTCCCCTTCTGTGTGAACCATCAGCTGGTTCGCTTTTATATGCCTTCTGGGCTGGGGGGATGTTCATCCATTCTCACAACATGACCTAGCCAACGTAGTCGCTGTAGCTCAATACGTCTAACAATGTCGGTGTCTGGTACAACTCATGGTTCATTCGAGGCGATATTCACCTTCAACGCAGATTGGCCCATAGATCTTTCGGTGAATTTTTCTCTCAAACACATCATGAGCTGCCTCATCTGCTTGCGTAAGTACCCATGCTTCAGATCCATATAACAGCACGGGTAGTATCAGCGTCTTGTAGAGTGTGAGTTTGATCTGGCGGGAGGTGACCTTGCTTTTGAGTTTTTTGCTCAGACCATAGTAGCATCACTATCCTTCTCCGAATTTCAAAATTGATATCATTCGATTTATTTATGGCGTTACCAAGATATATAAAATCTTTAACTACCTCGAAGCGGTAGTTCTCAAGTTCCGCAGTTGGTCCGAGTCTACTGGAGGTCTTGCGCGTTGATACCATCAGGTTGGTCTTCTCGCCGTTTACTGCCAGACCCACTTTGGCAGACTCCTTCTCAATTTGTTCAAAGGTGGGTGTTACCGCTCACAATGTTCGACCCATTATGTCGATGTCATCGGCGAGTAACATGTGTTGTTTGGTGTACAGAGTACCATTTCTGTTCACTTTTCTAGCAGGATGTTAAAAAGGTCACACGACAAACTGTCACCTTTTCCGAATTCGCGTTCGGTACTGAAGGGCTCCGGGAGGTTCTTTCCAGTTAAAGTTATCATGCATAGCCGTATTAATTTTGCAGGAATGCCAAACGCAGAAATGGCTTTGTACACCTCTGAATGGATAGGGCTGTCGAATGCGGCTTTATAGTCGACGAATAAGTGGAATGTGTCGATGTGTTTTTTGTGGGGTTTTCCAGGATTTGGTGCAGGGTGAAAATCTGATCAATGGTGGATTTGCGAGGTCTGAAACCGCATTGGTATAATCCAATAATTTCATTGACCATTGGCTTCAGTCGTTCACACAGTACGCTGGACAGCAGTTTATATGCGATGGGAAGGAGACGTATATCTCTATAGTTGGCACATATCACCTTGTCTCCTTTTTTGTGCACGGGACACAGGATGCTGAGGTTCCAATTCCATTGGGCATGCATTCCTCTAGCCAAATTTTACTAATCAACTGGTGCATGCTCCAGACCAGCATCTGACCACCAGTCTTGAATAGTTCGACTTGTAATCGATCGGCACCTGCTGCTTTATTATTCTTCAGCCGATTGATTGCTATTTTGACTTCATCTTGGCTAGGTGGTATACACTCTATACCATCATCTCTTATTGGTTCTGGGGTATCTTCTTCCTCGCCACTATTTGATACCAGAAGTTTTTCAAAATGCTCCTTCCAGATCCTCAGCACGCAGTTTGTATCTGTCACCAGGTTTCATTTTTCATCTCTACAGGAGGATGTGCCTGCACCAAAGCCTTCGGTTTGGAGTTTTACCCGTTGGTAGAATTTTCGGACTTCATTCTGATTCCTGTACATCTCGATTTGCTCACGCTCACGTTTTTCTTGTCCTCCCTTCTTCCTTTTCTCCCGATAGTTCTCCATCGCATTATGTGTTCCTACTGTCCGCAGGGTTGCCATATACGCTGCGTTTTTCATAACAGTAGCATTACGACACTCCTGATCGTAGCACGGATTTCTTGATGGTGGTCTTTGGTAACCAAGTGTTGCTTTTGCTGCAGTTTATAGGGAGTGGGCAATTCTCATCCATTGTGCTTCTATCTTATTATCGGGACAAGGGGTACTTTCGTCAAGCAGTTGGTTAAGTTGAGCGGAGTAGGCTTCGCCTATCTGTTGTCTTTGCAGCTTTTTGACGTTGAGTTTCCGTGTTGTTGTAGATCGCACCTTTGCTGCTATATTAAGACGGATGCGAACCATGGCTGCCACAAGGTAATTGTCCAAATCGATATTTGGTCCTCGGATCGATCGGACATCTAAAACACTGGATGAATGCCTTCCGTCTATCACAACGTAACCGATTTGATTTCTCATTGTACGATCGGGAGAAATCCAAGTGACCTTGTGTATATCGAGATGCTTGAATCTGGTGCTGCTAACTACCATGTTTTTTGCTGCCGCGAAGTCAATCAACCTCATGCCGTTGTTGGATGTTTCTTCATGAAGGCTGAATTTTCCGACGGTGGGGCCAAAGATATTTTCCCTTCCGATTTTCGCATTAAAATCTCCTAGCAGAATTTTAATGTCATGGCCAAGGCAACGGACATATGCAGTTTCTAGGCGCACATGAGACTGATGTAGAAGAACTTCGCTTTTATACGGATTATAGCAATTCGCTCATCTACTGGAGTGAATCTGAAGACGTGGCCTTTTATTCTCCTGTTAACCATAAATCAGCAGCCAAATTCATGTCTCGTTTCATGGCAGCTATAATACAGGGCGTAATCATCTGATTTACTTACGCCAGTCCCTTTTCATCGCATTTCCTGTAAGGCAATAATATCGGCTTTGTACTTCTTGAGTACATCCGCCAAAGCGAACACTGCGTTTGTTCTGTACAACGTGCGTACATTCCAAGTGCAGATTCGCAGATCGTGGTCCTTTACACGTTTGTGGGGGTCGTCAACATTAGGAGGGTTTGGTTTTTATACCCTACACAACTATGTTGTCAGGGTATTATAGCTTTGTGCAGGCCCAAAAGTTTGTAACGCCGCGAAATATTGGTTCTAGACCCACCTCTGTGTATACCGATCGTCATATCTCGACTAGCTGAGTCGATCTAGACATGTGTGCCCGTCCGTCTGTCCGTCTTTCTATTATAATTTGTAAACACGATACAGGCCACAGGTATGGACCAATCTTCACGAAATTTAGCATGTAGGATGGGTTCTGTCCAATGAAGACCCTAATTGTTTTTGGTAAAGAGCGGTTAATATTTAGGGGATGAAATGGACCAAATACTTAATTTTTGTCGGTTTTTCTGGTCGCTCCAGAGGCCGCAATTATGGCCCAAAACCCGCATGGAGAAGTGGATCGGGCTAAAGAATAAGCATGCCTCTTTTGATGAAGATATGTCAACATTTAACGGGTCAAATGGACCCTGACTTTTGTGTGGAAAATGACAACATTTGTATTCTATAGCGTATATATTTACTCCCGAAGAACAATGACCCGAGAAGTTGATAGCATATGTAAGAGGAGTGGTTGACCTTTGATAACAGTTATATGGTCGTATGTACTCAGATGTGGGAGTTACACATAAATATTTACAGGTGCTTTCGTATTCATATATTATTTAGTTACCCATTACCACACTAGATCGCTTCGAAATTTTCCATGAGGATCCAGGCATGGTCAAGGACATCGCCTATAATTTTCGGTGATGATCAGATAATAATTTAGGGATGAAGTGGACCGAAAATTCATTTTTTTGTGTAATTTCGAGTCGATCCACAGGCCACAATAGATAGCCGAATTTCACAGCACAAAGGACGAAGGGAATCTGGACAAGTAATTAGAAGGACTGTATTGAATATTAGTAATATTGTTGACCTCTAGTCGGCCAAGAGGGTGCAAATATCGCGCAAGTTAGACTTTCGTGGAAGTTATGTAGGGTATCATATGGTCGGCCCGTCCGACTATACTGCTCCGCTCACTGGTTTTTTCTTTGCTTTTTCATAGTTGGAGGGATTTTCCGAGTGTGGGCCGACGCCTCAACCCATTTTTTTATAGTTCTTATGGGTGAACTCGCGGCACATATTAGCTCACTATTTCATCGGCTTATGAAAATAGCTAACCCGGGTGGCACCGCGGGGAGGTCAGTGTCCACAATTGAGATGAAGGAGGGACCATGATAAGCCTGGATTTCGCCATGTTAAAGCCAATCAGAGTCGTTGCTTGGTATCTATCATCCCCTATGCCTTGCTTAGCCTTGAAAAATATTTATTAAAAAATTCAGGCCTTGGTTAGCCTTGAAAAATGTTTATTACAAAATCCACGCCTTCTTAAGCTTTGAAAAAAATATTTATTAACAAATCCACACCTTGTGGTTATTAAAATATTGTAGCTTCTTGAAAAAATATTTATATATAGGCTTTTTGTTTCTTTAAAAATGTTTTTTAAAAAAATCCAAGCCTTGGAGGCCTTGAAAAAAATAGTTCTTCATTAGTCCTCCAAAAATGTAAAAAATTCCATAACTTCCGGAAATCTTTAAATTTAAAACTGCAAAAAAATCTCCCTTAAACTTCCAATTATAGCATTCTCTAAGTCCTTTTGAAATAAATACTTCCTGGCCGTGTTCTTTTTTTATCAAATCGCCACGTGTTTTTCTTTCGCAAATATTAAATACAAAGTCTGCACACACACACACACACACCCATACATACACAGCTTCGTTCATAAGATATTATGTCTTAATATTTGTTTTTTTTTGCATTTTTATTTTTTTTTTTTTTTGTTTTATTTACCCCTCACTCGCTCACTCACCTTGTTTGACATCTGTGGGATTATCTAGAAATTGATCTCCAGTAGGCTCCAGCGAACAATGCACCAACATAAAACAGAATGACAGCAATAAAATTGTTAAGTGGCAAATGGATTTGATATCGACCATTTTGGGAATTGCTGGGGATGCCCTACTACAGGTGGTTGTGCTGGTGACGACGATGGCGATGGTTAAACCGAAAATCAAAACAAAAGGACCAGGAAAATCCCAACAATAAAATAAAGGCGTCAAAGGATTTTTACAGAGAGAGGGGGATTGAGAAGCGCGGTTAAGTTAAAGCACCTGGTTTTTGTTTGCTGGTAGTTGCCCGGTTGTGGAGGTGTCCGCTTCTTTTTATGGTGGCTGGGGAGCTGTAATAAAAAAATGAAAGAAATAAAAATAAAACTTCATAAATGCGTTGAAATATTAAACAAAAGAGTTATATTGTTGTTGTTGCTGTGGTTGAAAATAAATATGATTATGATGCATTGTAAAATGTTTACAATGGCGGGGTTTTTTCTGTGTGTGACTTTGAGGTTATGTGACGTATGAATTGATGACGTATACGTCATAGGGTTTTTTTCGGATTCAATTTACTCATACGCCTAGTTGCATAGTTTGTTATAGCTCCTGTTTTAAATAATCATAATAAATCATTGTTTTTGTTAGCTCTACAAAAATTAAAATAAATATACAACTATATTTTCCCAGTCATGGGGAAAAAATAATAGGAAATGAAAAACAAGTAAAAACGTCGTTTTGTTCAACGGGGCCGAACATTTTTTTTAACCTCCTTCATAAGGTGGATATTCAATATTTTTAAATCGATCGGGACTTTTATAAGGCGGCTATGTCATGATAAATGGATGTCGAACTTCTTTAACCTCCTTCATAAGGTGGATATTCAATATCGGGACATTTTTGAGCCGGCTATGACATGAAAAATATGTGGTATCGTTATAGGGGGGACTATATCTAAACCTGGACCGATATAGATAATATTTGACGGGAAGATTTCATAGCGAATGAGAACCCAAATTTTCATATTAGCGAAAATTTCGTTGAAAAACTTGTCCGAAATCCTCAAAATTCCGGATAATGGGGGTAACATTATATTAAGGGGTTTCCGGAACTGGATTTTATATTGACAATTTTATGGTAGGAAGATTTACCACCAATGATAATCTTAAATATAAAATTGCAGTCGTTTTGGATGAAAAATTTGACAAAGCTACCCAAAATACTTAAATTGAGACGTGCCGATGTTAGATGTGGACTACAATAAAAAGTGGACCAATATTGGTAATGTTTTCCAGGATTGGTTGGTTGGTTGACAACCAACCCAAAATTCTTAAAATACCGCAAATCAAGAGGATGTTTTCCTTGGGGCAATACTAAATCGTGGACCGATATAACCCATTATCAATACCAAAAATTGAAAACCAGTAAGGAAAGTAGTAAAGTCGGACTGGGCCGACTATATGATACCCTTCACCACTTTGGGTATATTGTATATATGTATCCTAACAATTGCATGTCTATGTTCCCTCTTTCTCCAACCTATCCTAACTTTAATTTCATTCGAGAAGATTTAGAGCCGCCTGAGTAACATGGGGAAAATTTATGGAAAACGATTTATAGCAAAATTGATACAAGCTATTCGGTACTCCGCGTTGTTAAACATATAATCTATATGTGGGAGCTATTTCTAAATCTGAACCGATTTTCAGGAAAATTAACACACATTTCTCTAGACATAATTCAGTACGCTATGCCAAATTTTGTGCAAATCGAAGGATATATAGGGACGTTGGTGCATCATTTACATAAAATCGGAAGAGCATATACATGGGAGCTATATCGAAATCTCGACCGATTTTCCCGAAACTCACCACTCATCATTCTAGACTCAATTTAGAACGCTAAGCCAAATTTTGTGCAAATCGAAGCATATAAAAGGATTTTGATGCACTATTTACCTAAAATCGGACGAAAATATATATGGGAGCTATACCTAAATCTGAACCGATTTTCTCAAAACTTAACACACATCGTTCTAGACTTAATTCAGTACGCTATGCCAATTTTCGTGCAAATCGAAGTATATATAGAGACTTTGGTACTCAATTTACCTTAAATAGGACGAAAATATATATGGGAGCTATATCCAAATCTGAACCGATTTCACGAAACTTAACACACATCATGCTAGACCTAAGTCATTACGCTGTGCCAAATTTCGTGCAAATCGAAAGATATATAGGGACTTTGGTACACAATTAACCTTAAATCGGACGAAATATATATGGGAGCTCTATTCAAATCTGAACCGATTTTCACGAAACTTTGCACTCATTATTCTAGATCTAATTCATTACTCTGCACCAAATTTCGTGCAAATCGAAAGATATTTAGGGACCGTTTAAATTTAATCGGACGAAAATATATATGGGAGCTATATCTAAATCTGAACCGATTTTTCCCAATTTCAATAGGGTTCGTCCTTGGGCCGAATAAGTGACCTATGCCAAATTTCATCCAATTCGGATTATAAATGCGACCTGTACTTTGTTTACAATTTAACATCGACAGACGGACGGACGAACGGACATTCATAAAACTACTCAGAAAGTGATCCTATGCATATTCTCAAAAGGAACCATGTGTCTATCTCTTTTCCTTTTGCCTGTTACAAACATATGCACAAAGACATAATACCCTGTACCACAGAGTGGAGAAGGGTATAATTACAAAGATCTACTGAGCATTCCTGACCACTTGTTTTGATACGTAAGCTATATAAACGTCTTCTACTAAGAACATAAAACCTTCGGATGTTCTTCTGTAGACAAAGGTCTTTTAGAGGCCCAGAGAAACCAGTAAGAAAAGTCCAAAAGTCGGACGGGATCCTTGAGGTCTTCTTCTTCATAGAAGAGCTTGAGGTCTTCTTCTTCATAGAAGAGCTTGAGGTCTTCTTCTTCATAGAAGAGCTTGAGGTCTTCTTCTTCATAGAAGAGCTTGAGGACTTCTTCTTCATAGAAGAGCTTGAGGACTTCTTCTTCATAGAAGAGCTTGAGGACTTCTTCTTCATAGAAGAGCTTGAGGTCTTCTTCTTCATAGAAGAGCTTGAGGTCTTCTTATTCATAGAAGAGTTTGAGGTATTTTTTATAGAAAGGTTTGAGGTCTTATTTATATTGGAGTCTGAAATCTTTTTCATTGAATAATTTGGGGTATTTTTCATGAAGGGCCTGAGGTCTTCTTCATAGAAGAGCTTGAGGTCTTCTTCTTCATAGAAGAGTTTGACATCTTCTTCTTCATAGATGTTATTGAAGCCTTCTTCTTCATAGAATTGCTTGAGGTATTCTTCTTCATAGAAGAGCTTGAGGTCTTCTTCTTCATAGAAGAGTTTGAGGTATTTTTATACAAAGGTTTGAGGTCTTATTTATATTGGAGCCTGAAATCTTTTTCATTGAATTTGGGGTATTTTTCATGAAGGACCTGAGGTCTTCTTCATAAAATAGATTGAGGACATCTTTATAGAAGAGCTTTAAGTCTTTTTTATAGAAGAAGCGGACGGGACTATGGAAGAACGGAGAGACATATATATCCATGTAGTCGATAAAAGACAATCGGTGTACTAAAAGATGGTTCTGGGAACAATTTCTTTGCCTTTGACCAGAACCGGAGTTACATGCAAAATTTCAGGCGTTGCGTATACAAATTTAGGCGGCGAAATATACAAACCAAAATTGGAATTTTTCATGCATATCTACCTATATTGTACTTAGAGTAATGTCAGAACATTGAAAAAATAAATAAAACCAGTGAGCGGAACAGTCTAGTCGGACGGGGCCGACCATATGAAACCCTACACAACTTCCACCAAACTATAATTTCTGCGGTTCTATACTCTAAGCCTGTGCAAAATTGACCGATTGTAAGTCAATAGCTCCACGTTCTAGCCCTGGTATATTTTCCAAATCTTGTTCTCCCGAGATGAATATTTAACACATTTAACTTTGGTTGATTTGACCCTCGGAATATAGACCGATCATCATCTAAACAGCAGTTCTAAATAATTGTTCAGATCCCCTTCACCGTGCAAAATATGTGATGTTCTGCATATAATAATGGCCTCTAGAGCGACTAGAAAATCTGAAAAAATAAAGATTTCGGTTTATTGCACCTTAAGCATCATCTCAACATCACCGAGAATTATAGGCATCGTCATTGACCATAACCGGAACTTTATGTAAAATTTCAAAGTGATCAGCGCGACATTTCCGCCCTCTAGTGGGGTAATAGTAGTACTAAACAATATCATAGCACATAGACAGCTTCAAATATTTACGTAAAACTCTCACATCCGAATACATACAACCATACAATTGATATCAATCTAAAGGTTAACCACGCCTCTTGGATATACTATCAACTTCGCGGGTCTATGCCCTTCAGGAGTAATTATATTCGCCATAGAATAAAAAATTTGTCATTTTTCACACAAAAGTCAGGGTCTATTTGACCCGCTAAATATTGTACGATCTTTATGAAAACAGGCATGTTTATTCTTTGGCCCGATACCCTTCTCCATGTAAAATTTCGCAATGTTTGGGCCATAATTGTGGCCTCTGGAGCGACCAGAAAATCAGACAAAAATTACGTATTTGGTCTATTTCATCCCCTAAATATTAACCGATGTTTACAAAAAACAATAGGGGTCTTCATTGACCAGAACCCATCCTACATTGAAAATTTTGTGAAGATTGGTCCATAACTGTGGCCTGTATCGTGTTTACAAATTATAATGGACAGACGGACGGACGGACACACATGTCTAGATTGACTCAGCTAGTCGAGATATGATCGGTATACTTGAAGGTGGGTCTAGGACCATTATTTTGCGGTGTTACAAACTTTTAAGGCTACACAAAGCTATAATACCCTGACAACATAGTTGTGTAGGGTATTAAAATTATTATTCCGTCACCATGGTACTGAAATGCGATTAAGCCTTCTGTTTAAGTTCGTTGCATTGTCTATCAAATTGAGTAAGTTCGATATGTAGTTTACCTCTTCCTCAGCTAAACAGTTAATCACAATAATTGATCACCTGTATTGAGTCGGAATGTCGGAATTCTACCTGCCTTTCTTCGCGGAGTCACACTTGATAACACACGTATTAATTCCGATGCCATATTCAACCTCATTACAGATTAAAATATTTGCATGTGCTTTAAAATAAAACCAAAC